AATAACATGAAATTAGTCTAAAATAGAAAAATAAGATAGATAAAGACCCTAAAATACTCAAGTTTAAGGGGTTTAAATGCGCACTTTTCAGCGCTCATCAAAAGGTAAAATAATCATTTGTCATGAGTTTGTCTTTAATTGCAACAAATCAATAATTCAAGGGGATATGTTTTTAGTTCAAAAATTATTTGCAAAAGGACAATAGTGCCCGTTTGGGATTGCTGTTAGAATATTACTGAGATACTGTTTGGTATTTATTTTTAGCAAGGACAAAATTGTATTTATAAAAAATATAAAAGGATTGCATTATGTAAAAAAAAAAATTGGTTACCTAAAAAGATAAACCTCTATCTCTAACGCAGTTTTAAAAGTTACAATTCCTAACTTCACTTAAACACACTTTTTTGACCTAACCCCTACCATGTATAAGCACTTTTTTTTTTCACCAAATACATTGGACTTTTTTTTTCACCAATTTTTTATAATGAAAATGCTTTTGAATAGTAGAGAAGTAATCCCAAACACCGACCGTTTAGTGCACTTTACCCTTGTATAAATAAAGAACAATCACACTGACTATACTATATTTACCCATTTCACGAAATGCAACGAATTCATGAGTAAGAGACTAAAACAACAAGTTTTGGGTTCTAAAATTCGAAGTGACTTGTCTGTACTAAGAATGGAAGTAGAACTAGAAAACCCTATAAAGAGAATAAGCAGTGGAGCTGTAATATTTTTACAGCAGTAATATTTACAGACATGGCAGGTGTCTCAGTTCTGCATGCAACTATTTTTGGGCTTTGGTGGATGCATCTACTGTGGGAGTGAGAGTGAGAAAAAGTAAAGATTTCAAATTCACACACACACAGACAGAGAGAAAGAGCATAAGCAAACAGTGATTTTGCTGTTTTTCACTTGATGAAAAAGAAGCAAAGAAAATTCTTTTGTGTTTTGGTTTTCTTAGTGCAAACTCATACATTACTCAAAAAGATGAAAATGTCGGTGACACTTTGCCAGTGTTTGAGGAACGGTTCACTAAAAATAGCTGGTCAATCACACACTTCTCCAAGTATTGGTTTTATAATCTTTGTATCTTTAAAATTGAGGAAGTGTGTTAACTTTCAGAATTAAACAAAGAACTATAACATCAGAGAGTATGAATAAAGAAAATTATATATATATATATATAATCAATGTATAACATGTTTGGCTATCCTATTTTGTAATTAAAGATAAGTCTAAAATCCAACTATCTCTAAAAATTACGAAAATATAGGATATGAAAACTAATTATTAAAAATTATTATTAAATACCAAAAATCAAGAAAATTCGAGTCCATTCAGACTACGAACAAAAATCACAAAATATTCAATAGACATAATAAGATAGAAAAATGCAATTTGAACATCCTAAACCATAAAATTTGACCGAGAAACAATGTATATCAGAAGCAAAATTCATAAGTATTGATTGATAGTATGTTTTTTTTAATTATTAAGAATGAAGTTTTTAATGTCAAAAATAGTTTCAACGAAACTGTTCTAAAAAATATGTCACCCTGCACCAATTAACCTTTTGATAGTTCAGATGGTCTCCGTAATATCCGGCAACCATTTTAAATCAGCATCACAATATTATTAATAATTCACCACTTTTAAATTAGGATAAATTCCACTTATTTTTCTTAAGGTCGTTAATATTTCACATAGACTCTTTTATGTTTCATAATCTCCACCTACTCTCTTGAAATTCTGATTTATATAACATATTCTCCTTACCTGACCATTTTGCCCTTCTAATGTGTGAAATAGTAGCAAATGTTTCATAGACATAACAGTAAAAAAAGTCATTAACAGGAGAGTCTTAAATAAGATTATAAAACGGAAAAAAAAAAATATGAAGTATTAATAAATCTTAAGAAAGGTAAGTAAAATTTCTCCTTTAATTTAATTTATTGTTTTAACAAGTCAAGCTCAGATTTATATCTTTGAACTTGTTTATTAAGCAAGTCGAGTACAAAGTAGCAAGGACCCCACTAAGTGAACTCACCACTCATCATTGCCCTTTACCCAAAATGGTTCTAAGACCCATTAGAACTTAAATTAATATTTTCCTAATCAATCTTATTTGTAAGTTTCAGTGTGAAATTGACTAAGCAAGGAGACTGTAGGTCACAAATATCCCTGAACAAACACTTGAACCAACTAACAATTCTACTTCCTTTTTTTTTTTATCTTTTTTCAATGATAAAACAAACATAATTTTTTTTCCGTACTAAAAATCAACCAATTATATCATGCTATATAAATAAAAATTATTTATTTTAATAAAATTCCTTAGATGTGAATATCTAATCTATTAATAATACCACGTCACTAATATATATGACATACGCATATTCAAAGTCCTTCCCTTCTCAAAGCTGCACCAATAGGCCAAAAGGGCATTTGGTCTAACAATTCTACTTTCCTCCCAAGAGGGAGAAATAAGACATTTTATATTATTTTCTTTTAGAATAAATTTCATTATTTTAATAATTATTTAAATCACTTGAGGATTGACTAGAGGCTGAACCCATCACCTGAAGTGTCCTGAAAATTGAGGTGACAATGCCATTGCCCTAATCATTTCACCAGGGTGCATTGGATTCACCCCCAGGAGATGAATTCAAGAGTTGAGTGACAATACTATATGACATGTTGGGTAATCCAATATAAAACACCGTCCTGCCCGCTAGTGGCCTTATAGGTGTCTCAGTGTTGGGAACAAAACTACCCCCCTTCCAATTCCGTGAAATTTTGAATTTCCTCTCAAAGCTGACAAAGCCCCAACCCTACAAGATAAAAATATTCTTTCCTTTCCTTTCCATGCAATTAATTTGCAGAGGAATCAAGCCAAACACCTGCTTTTACACAATTTAATTGCAGACGAAATCAGCTCCTATCCAATTTCTTTTTTAAAGGATTTTTTATTAAAAGTATTTTTATTTGATAGACTTTTCATTTCTACCAATTTCATGACGACACAGATGAAATTTTAAGTTCGGAATGTATATAGGGAATTTGAATTCGAATACGATCAACTCTCACTGGATACACTAATACGATTCATTAAAATACTAAATATTTATTATCATTGAATCTTTTTTTACTGATACCAACTTCATAACACAGATAAGATTTAAACTCAAACACATAAAATTCGAAATCACATTTGATATACCAAATACCATTCATTCAGACATTAAAAATTCGTTCTACCACCTAATTGAGTTAAGCTAGCGATTTCAAATCCAACTTGTAGTAAGGTCCAAATCACTTGTACAATTACAAACAGAACTTTCAAAACAAAAATTCACAATTTTATTGTTAGGAAGGGACAATCAATCCATCAATCAATCGGTCAAAATGTCCCAAAGAGTACAACCCATCACTGGGTAATGCCATTGCCAAGTCACAAAGTTGATCCCAAAAAATCAATCCTGCTTTTGTCATGTCAAATCAGAATAATACATATATATATATATATATATACACACACTAGATTATACTATAACAAACACTATGAACAGTGCCTACATGGGATTTTTATCATGGTCTACCTTAAAAAAAGGAGAAGGGTAGGGAAGAGCTGAGCCAACTACTTTGGCACAATCACTCCACCATTTTGGCATTTTGCCAAACAAATTAAAATTCCATACACGTCCTTTTCTACTAGTTATCATTCCACCGACCAAAAGATAAGATTTACCAAAATATAAGTAAAAAGATAAGATTTACCAAAAATAGTTCTCGTAAGTTTTAATCAACAAGACTACATGTGCATGCAAGGCCTATTAACAGTTCACATGTTAATAAGGTAAGGGCGAGTATGGTATTAAAAGTTGTCATTTGGGGAAGTAATTACATAGTCAGGTGTTATTTATTCGGCTCCCGGCAAAGTAACACTTGACCTATTAGTAAATGTGTCATGGTGTAAGTTTTATTCAATTTTTGCTAAAACTAATAGTCCTGGATTAGAGTGGGTAAGTTGCGTATTTCAACCCCACATTGATAATAAATGTAAATTATGCATGTACCCACAATTTCAATATATTTCCTTAATTACCCTTGTAAGTATTGTTTGCACTTTAGGGTTTTTGACTTGCACCTATCAACTTTCATGACTACATGACTACATCCCGGTGAAGGTACTACCTAGTTCTCTACGTGTCTATCTCGTTCTCACGCACACAGTGACTCCCAATGAGAACTTTGATTTCTCGGCAATCAAAGTTCTGAATACCTCATCTAGAGAAGGTATTCAGAACTTTGTGGCTATCTGGTTCCGCGGCAAGACAACAATGGAGTCCTGAATACCTTGTGTAGACGAGGGTAGTGTTATACCAATAACTCATTTGCGGGATTGGATGAGGGTAGTGTTATACCAATAACTCATTTGCGGGATTGGATGACAGAATTCCCAACGGGTCAGGGTACAAGTAGAATTTTAGCCAAATCCATCCGGAATCCGACCCTATGCAAAGGACAGTTTAGACATTTGAGATTTACTCGAATCACTCACTTTATAAACAACTTGAATCACATGGCAAGACGAATGAAATACTATCATAATTGGGGGTTTCACCTAAGGCACATCGGTCATGACACCATCTGATTTACCCAAAAAATGAAAGCTAGCCCCTCGTGTGGTCCATCCCCATGCACATAGTTATGGCGGGTCTAAGGTGAACTATAAATGGTTTTAAAAGAAGAGAGAGTTACTGACTTCTATCAAAGGTAAGCTAGGCACTCATTGAAACCTGCCACAATTCAATTCAAATAAAGTCCTTAAAAGAACCACAAGCCAAGGGAGTTTTCAATCTCAGTTAGTGAGCCCCACAGTATTGATTTATGTGTATATATATATATATATATATATATATATATAATATTACCCATTTATGTATATAATATGTGCCTCTTACCAATAACTCATCCAAGTCATAGCCAATCACTGAGAACACCAAACTCTCTTGAATATTTACTCCTAGTTTCACTTGCAGGTCTGGAGCAGTAACAGTAGTGCCATAAACATTGGGGCAGCAACAACATTTCATGAAGACAAATTCATATAGAGGAAAAAGAAACCCCACCAATCCTACTGTACACTAAAAAGAAACATTCAAAGGTTAACACCTTTTAAGTTAGAGTAAACCACCCCCCCAAAACCCCCAAAAGGAAAATTACAAACAAGGAACACACACAGAGAACAAAGCTAACCAAAATACATGGAAATTTAAACACATCCTTCCCCCCATCCCAATAGAACAACATTTCAAATGCTGAGGAGATCGGGTGGCGGTGATTGAGGCAGTGGTGGTGGCGGTGATTGATGGTGTTCATTTGCATCTTTAGTTGCCGTGCTGGGAGACTCCGAGGCAGTGGATGGTGCCGGGGAGGATTCTGTGGCTGTTGAGTCTCCCCCCTGTTTTGTGTTGGCGGGTGGCTTTGGAAGCTCTGTTAGCATTTGGATGACTTCCCGCATTGTCGGACGCTCAACAGCCTGTTCTTCGACGCAGAGCATTGCAACGTAGAATACGTGCATCACCTCATGGAGGGGAACCGTCGAGAGTCTAGGGTCAAGTACCTTTAGCACCCCTTCCTTGTTCCCATCGGTCATCTTTCGGACCCATTGGACTATGTCTACACCATCACCAAACTCCCCTACTGGTTTTCGGCCGCTTACCAGCTCTAAGAGAACTACACCAAAGCTATACACATCGCTCTTCTCGTCAACCTTGAGAGTGTAAGCATACTCTGCATAAAGCAACCATAATTTCAATATTCAAATTTCATTTCAACATATAATCCCCTAAACAATTTCAATATTCAACAATTAGGTTGTCAGCTGGATAGCATTTAAAATATTTTTTGTTGTTGTTGGGAGCCAAATTGTTTGGATTTTGCACTTAAAGCAAGATAGCTACTTTTTTTTTGATAAGTTTAAAGCAAGATAGCTACTTAATAAGATGTACCAAGTAGTTCCATGTCATTTTCATATGAGCCCTCATTGAATAAAAGATCCATCACTTGGAAATTATACATCAACAACCATGAAATTCATGTCCCTCAACAGTTCTTTACCAATCATCATTTAATGCCAAAGCCAAAGAAAGACACTGATTGTTACAAACTCACATGCTTTTAAAGACAAAAAACAGAGGACATATTAAGTTAATAGAAACACAAAGTCAAATTAAGCTACAACACATAAAAAGTATAGGAAAGAATTAATGCAAGATCTCAATGTAATTAATAAATGAGTCAAAAATCAGTTTTTGAAATTCAAGATCTTTGATAAATTAAGGACTTCAAAGCAATCAAGTTAAAATATTATTATCCACCAAAACAGAAAATTCATGCTTCACAAAGTACTTCAGTTGATTATATACCAAAACACAAAATTCATACTTCTCAAAGTACTTCAGAGCTCGAATTTTACCTGGGGCTATGTATCCATAAGAACCAGCAATAGCAGACATGCACTCCGAGGTGCCAGAATCCTGCAAAAACTTGGCAAGACCGAAATCCGCGACATGAGCCTCAAAGTTGGAATCAAGAAGGATGTTGTTAGACTTCACATCTCGATGGAGAATCAACGGTGAACAATCGTGGTGAAGATAGCAAAGTCCCTTTGCAGATTCCACAGCAATCTTATACCTTGTATCCCAATACAAATGGCCCCCTTTCTTGCCATGAAGCACTTCACCTAAGCTCCCATTTGGCATGTACTCATAAACCAAAAGATTTGTCTCATGGTTTGAGCAAAACCCTAGTAATCTAACAATGTGCCGGTGTCGAATCCTCCCAAGAGTCTGTATCTCTGCATTGAACCCGTGGTCGTGAGAGGACCCCCGGCTCATCGCCGGAAGCCTTTTCACGGCAACCTGATCGCCATTGGGCATTACCCCCTTGTAAACAATGCCAGCACCACCTTTCCCAATAATGTTGTCCTCCTTCAGGCAATCCAAGACATCATCACAAGTGAAATCCAAGCGTTGGAAAGCTGTTAGCTTCCATGCTCGAGACTCACTCGCCTTCTTGAACTTCCGGGCCTTAAGGATGGCGAGGACAGCAAACACAATTGAGCACACAAGCAATCCAATGACAAGTAAAAGCTTCCATGAGGCCGAGAGTCCCCCTTTAACATGAGGTTGGTGAGTGCCATTGGCATACCCATCTTTGCAAGGTCCCAAATAAGGACCACAAAGATCAGGGTTGCCAAGAAATGAAGTGTAATTGAAGTAACTAAATTGACCAGTGCCAGGAACTAATCCAGATAGATTGTTATACGAAAAATCAACTGATGTCAAGCTTTGCATAACAGCTATGGATGATGGAATGCTTCCAACCAAGTGATTTCGTGACAAATTCAAGTAATTCAGGATCCTCATACCTGTGATTTCAGTCGGGATTTCACCCGAGAGCTGATTACGACTAAGATCAACGAATGTCAGCAGCTTGCATTGGCTCATCTCCGGCGTGATCTCACCAGAGAAGCCGTTGTGACTAAAATCTATCTTTGAAAGCTGCTGCAAATGCCCAATTTGGGGCGGAATGCGGCCGGTGAACTTGTTTCCGTCGAGGAGTAGCTTCTGAACACCTGAAAAGTTTCCGATGCTGGGCGGCAACGAGCCGGTTAGCTGATTGTTGGAGAGACTAATCTGCCCGAGATTGACAGCTATTGAATCTGTTTCTGGAAACCCTCCAGAGAGAAGATTGTCTTGAAGCTCAACTTGAACGAGTTTAGGCAAGCTAAACAGACCCTTTGGAATCGACCCATTGAGATAGTTCTCTCCCATTCGAATCCGAGTCAGTGACTCGCACCGGCCAAGCGATTCCGGAATCGGACCGAACAAGAAATTGGTGAGAGTGATTAAGATTTGGAGATGATTACCAGAGCACATGAATGGCGGCAAAGTTCCGGTCAATTTGTTCGACGAAAGGTCGAGAAGCTGAAGCTTCCCGTTCGTCCCCAAACCTTGGGGTATACTTCCGGTGAAGTTGTTTTCCCAAAGCTGTAACACCTCCAGCTCCGGCAGATCTCCAATAAACTCGGGTATCGAACCGTGAAGCTTGTTTCGGAACAGATTGAGAAGGGTCAAGTTCTTCAGATCGGCGAATGACGCCGGTATTTCGCCGGAGAAGACGTTGTTAGACAGATCCATAGATTTCAAGCTCTTCAATTGGCCAAGCTCAGTCGTCAACTGTCCTGACAGTCCATTCACCTGTAGAAATAGTGTATCCAAGTTTTGAAGCTGCCCGATTTCCGGGGGAATCTCACCGGACAATCCACAGTTCGCGGCGTCAAATCGAACGAGTCGAGACAAGTTTCCGATAGCCGACGGTAGGCTTCCGGTAAAGGCGTTGTAGTAGCCAATATACAGCTGTTGAAGCGTCGATAAGTTGCCGATTTCCGGAGGAATCACGCCGCCAAGTTCATTGCCGGAGATTGCTAGATATTCCAGCACCGGGAATCGTCCGTACTCCGGCGGGATGCTTCCCGTGAAGTAGTTGCCGCCGAGGTGAAGATGCCGGAGACCCGACATTTCGGATATCGACACGGGGAGGTCTCCGGTCATATTGTTGTTGTAGAGGTCGAGCACTTGGAGGTTTTTGAGTCGAGCGAGTTGACTCGGAAACGTCTCATTGAAGACATTGTTGGAGAGGTTGAGATATCGAAGGCCGGAGATGAAAGAGATCTCCGGCGGGATAGGGCCGGAGAACTGATTGGCGGCGAGGGTGAGGTTCAGGAGGTAGCGGAGGTGACCCACGTCGGAGGCGAGGACGCCGTAGAGATTGAGCCCGGAGAGGTTGAGGGCTGTCACGTGACGTCGGGCGTCGCACGTGACGCCTGCCCACGTGCAGTGACTGGTTGAAATATTCCACGACGAGAGAGACGATTGTTCGTCGCCTGTGATGGCGGCTTTCAGGGAGAGCAGAGCGCGGTATTCCGGTACGAATGGTGGTTTAGCGGCGAGTGAACTGTGGACGTGGAGGTTTAATAGGAGGAGGAGAATAATGTGAAGGAATCGCATTTTTTTGGGATTTTTCCTCCCCTGCTATTGTTTTTAGAGAGAGGAAGGGAAAAGAAGAGGGAGGGAGAAGGTAGGGAGAGAGTAGAGTGAGAGATCAGTAAGCAGAGGGGAGTCGTGGTTTTATTCTACTTTTTTGTTTTAAATATAATTTGGAAAAGGAAAGGGTATTAAGGAGATTTTACTACTTCTCTATTTTGGTTCGAGTTTGATAATCGAGGGAAAGTGTTAATACCCAATTTTGAATAAAAGTTTTTTATAATTGATATTATTTATTTTTCTTTTTAATAAATAAGTTTTAGTCCAATTTTGATTAAATTTTTTTTATAATTGATATTATTTATTTTTCTTTTTAATAAATAAAGTTTTAGGGAATTGTAAGGAAAGGGGAGAGTATATGTAATTACAGATATAGGAAAATGAGAAACTAAACTCACTTCTTAATTTTTTTTTTTTTTTTATCTACAATTATTTTTCTCTAAAATATAAGTATTCTAAATAAAAATAAAAAACTAAGAATAATTTTCATAAACAAATTTTAAACCACAAATACAATAATACGTGCATAAGAAGAAGTGAAAATAATGACAACAAACATTCGTAATATGTAAGCATTATATTTTATAACATTGGATAATCTACTAAGAAATATTATATATTATATATAAGTATATTTTGGCATTATATTATGTCAAATCGAAATATTATTTGATTGGATTAAACATAATTCGTCTTCTTTTAAACTAACAGATTATTAGATTCTGATAATTAATGAGTCTTAAATTAATTTTTCAATTCAAACCATGGCTCTCTAGACGGTATTAGATCAAATTCAAACAGAAACATAATCCATTAACAAGACTAATTGCGGGGAAGAGGTTTTTGACCCCAGAAGTTGAAGCAGGAATGTTAATGGGGCGGGTTCGGATGAACCTCCATTTTCTTAAACTAATTCTGATAATGAAATTTTTTTTTTCAAAACTTAATTTGAGGTGCTTCGCATTGGAGTCGAGATGGCTTCAGAACGTGTCAATATACATAATTTTTAAGAAAAAACAATCAAACTTCAAAAAATTTAAGTTAAATTTTCTTATTTATTTTTTAGTATATTCAAATATTTCACAATCATGAAAATTATCATAAGAAATAGAGAAAAAAATATTATAGGTAATAAAAGAATGATTATTTATATATTAATTATTAATCAGGATGGATTTGTGACTTTGCGAATTTTAAACTTATTTTCAAACTCATTCATAACCATATTAGGATTACTTCAAACCCGCTCCAATAGTCAATTGAGACGAGTTTATGTAAAACTTGTTCCAAGCAAACACATCGATCTTATGTAAAACTTTATGCCAACTGACTATTCATGTTGTAAATTAACAACAAAAATAAATTTGCTCAACCGAAATTATTAGGATTAGTGTTAAGATAAGTGTTAAATTTAGTGACAACTAACAAGGCAGAAGTAGAAAGAAAGAGTAAAAAAATATTAGAGAGAAAAGGTTATGAGACTCCCTCTCTCCTCTTTCTCCGTATAAGAATCTATGTTGCGATCTTCAAGTTTTGAAAAATGTGGTTTAGTTTATTATTTCTTCTGTCTCAAAATAATTGGGTATTTTTAAAAATGTGATTCATAAAAATTGTGAGTCATATTTTTCAAATACCTAACTATTTTAAGACGGATGAAGTATTAAATAGAGTGCGAATATTACCTCCGTTTTTGTTTTTTAATATTATTATCTGGTTTTCACTTTACACAAATCTATTGTTGAAGATTAAATATGTCTACTAAACTAAACAAACACTTGATGACATTTCGAAATTATTTTCCTTGAATAATATTGGAACCTAAAACCTTCATAATATCTCCATTTGGACTGTCCTTGAAAATAGTGTAGCGAGTGGATTTATTTTTTCTTCTCTATTTTAAACTTTTTAAAATTTTATTAGTAAGAAACGTACTCACACACTTATTTTATTCTTTTAAGACTTGAATCCTAACATTTTACACTGAAATGTGAGGAGGTATCATTAGGCCACAATACCTTTGGTATGTAGCTAGTGGATCATGTTAATTTGCGGCCAAATTTAGTGGTTTAGGACCTCAAAATTACATTTTTAACTCCTATACAAAAATTGCTGAATATTTTGAAATTTTTGTTCATGGACAAAATGAACTCCAATTTTTCTGAATTTTTATATCTAGTAATTTTTAGTGATTGGGTTTTTTATTTTATTTTTTCATAAATTTATATATATATATATTTTGGGAGAGTTGATTTTTAAGCTTGTTATGTTAATTTCCTTTTGATATTAGGTTTTATAAAGGTCATGTTGTTAATCAACAATTCGAATATTAATTAATTAATTTTTTTTTTTTTTTTAACAAATCTCTTTTAATTTTGTGAATTCAAAGTTGTTTAATATTCATTTGTGGTAGATACCTCTATAGTCCAGTGGGTTAGTGTCTTCGATGGACTTTGGAATGTCGGGACTTCGACTCTCTGCATCTACTAATCTAACTTCTAACCATTTGTTAATAAACAAATAAATAAAAAAAAAACATCCGTGAACATTCATAATTTCGGCTCAATCAATTTATTATTCAAAAAATATTTTTAATCACATTTCAGTTTCACTCGACATGCAATAAAGTCCTTTTTCCCAATTTATAAGATCTCTTTCAAATTTAGATAAATTATTTGAAAATGTTAAATAATAGAAATTTTTTTTTTGGGCATCTAAGAAAGCTAATTACTCGTGTCCAAATTCCTAAATGCCAAAAACAATGCAGAATTGCAGGGAGAGGGAATTAGATGGGCATGATACTTTCATGGTCACATTGTCTGCATGGGTTTGGGCAATGGAGCCCACCAATATATTCCGATCGACGAATCTCACCAAAAGAAAAGCTTAGTTTTGGTGGGTCCACTTCACATGTAACACGAAATATCATCCATTGATTTATCATGAAACAAGATCATTTGTCACTTAGCACCCACTTGATACTTAAGATTAACTCGACAACATAAATTTGGTTTAGGTAATTTTTTACTTTTTCTAGATAAGAAGTGGGACTCCAATTATTTCCATGTTTGGGAAAATTACCATCGATATGATTACAAGAAAACAAAATTCAAGAATTGTCCCAACAAAATATTATGAAACATTTTTGGTTATGATGCCTATAAGTGTTTATTCGTTTACGAGGATCTTAGAAGAAAGAACGAGACTTATCTAATTTTTGACGTTATAACTTTTTTTTAAAAGTGATTATTCTTTCTTTTTTGACTTTTGTTCGTTTGAAATTATTATTTATTTATTTTACTTTTGAATAAAAAGAAAAATCTAATACAAAATGATAGGTGTTCTAATCTATATTAAAAAATTAAATTCATTGAAACAATTGAATAATCGGAGTGGTAATTTGGTCGCATACTAATTAGTAGAATGTCTAACTCCACGAATGAATATCTCCCACTAATTTATTTTTTAAAAAGATATATATCACATAAATCATGCATATTTTTATTTTTTATTTTTTCATCCCTCTTATAACGGAAAGAAAATGGTAGTAGGTGATTTGAAAGATTCCATTAAGAGAGAAAGTTACTCTCAAAAGTCATAATTTGTGGGATTATTTAGAGATGTGAGATTCCATTTTTTTCTTTTTCTTTTCTGGAGGAGGACGGTATTGTTGAGTATTTTAAAGTACCTTATATTCTACCATCCGATATATACAGTTTTCTTTTACTGTAATTACCAATTTTTTTTATGTATGTCGCTCAAAAAAAAGTTTGGAACTTCAAACTCTCAACATAAAAAATGTGAGAAGAAAGTCTTTATCCTTATACTATTTCTTTGGGCTCCTAGTTTGATTAGATGAGAATTAAAATAAAAGAAAGTGAAGCGAATTAAAGGAATTGTCTATTTGATTAGCATGATTTAATTTTTTTAAAAGAAAATTATAAGAAATTATCATTTTTTGATTTAAATGTGATATATTAATTTCGTGATTGGCAAATTTCGGTGTCAAAACGCGTTTGATCGAGTTGTAATTTTTGGTTTTATTTTTGAGTCTCAATGTCGGAAGTGGAACAAGTGCAACCAATATGTGTTCAATTTTGATTCGATTGAGAACATCATGTTAGAGAATGTATGGTGGTAAGCACACGTTATTTTTACTTTCAGTGAGGTCTGGTGTTATACAAGAAATTTTTGAAAGTTTCACATTTCAAAAGTGCATTGCCACACTGGAATCGGTCGCGCTTCAATGCAATTGGTTGCAGTCTTTATTTCCAAAATTTTGTTTGTGAAGAAAAAAATATCACTGGCATAGCGAAATCGATCGCGTTTGAAGCGGAACCGGTTGTACGTTTCTTTTTTCCAAATTCACCGTTATTGAATTTTATACTACCTAAACGGAACCGGTTGCGTTACACTGGAGCCAATATGGTAATTGCAATTATATTCCAATTGTGATTCATTTTTTTTCAGATTATTCGGAGACTTTAATGCACGAATAAAACTTGTTTTCCAAGTGTTTGTAGGGCTTCAAAATTCTATATAAACACCTTTTCTCACTGAGGTTTTTCTACGACTTTTTGCATACAATTTTCAGCATTCTTATAGAGCCAAGTTTGTGAGATTTTTTGAGTGTTTATTTTATTTTTTATCTCGAGACCACACATATTATACACACGAGTGATTTAGAATATTGTCTACTATCTTATCGAAGTCCGAACCATTGAAGATCTATTGATACCATTAAGAAAAAGTAGAGCTTTTATTATTCGTCAGCAAAATCAGATTTGATGAAAATGAGAGATCGATCACATTTTGAAAGTGTCAAAACATTCGTAGAGTGTTGTATGCTCTGCTAGTAATCATTTTATAAGAGTCAAGAGAATAAACTTGAGGTCGAGAGTTGTTGAACAGGGGAGTCACAAAACCAAAGACGGTTAGTAATTGGTTCTTGGTAGAGTGAGAGTGTGTGAGCCTAAGTTGAATTTCATTGTACTTTATTTTATACATAGTTGATCATTTTAGTTGGGACAACATGAAAGTTTTTGAGGTTTTTCCAATTGGTTTTACTTG